TGTGTGCATACTCGCTGGGTTGGTAGAAACTAGTTTGCAGGCCCTCTGCAGATTAGCTCCTAACTTCTTTACTTTGCAGATGAACTAGTAGGTGATTTTTACCACAATCTTTATCTATCAGATGACTCAAATCTTGACCTCGATGAAGTTTGCAAAAAAGTGGTAATACATAGCTAGGAGCTGGTGACGATGGTCATGAATATTCATTATTTTGAAGGATAAAGCCAGTTTCCGAAGTGTGATTGTTTTGTATGTCTTCAACAATAGAGACAACCAAGTTTTCGTACAGATGATGATAGGCTGCCTACTCTCGAGATGACTAGCATAATGATAGGACATATTTCATTGCGTTAATAATTAGATGGGATTTATCACAATTACTTACTAATGGGGAGAAGAGGATAAGTCACCTCGAATCAAGGGCATTGTAGCAGTGGACCTCAGCTGCTGGTTCACTTTGTCTTCTAATTCGAAGATTGTTGAAATGATCACTTCATCATAGGCAATTTCAAAGGGCACTTTCTTCTCTTCCACTTTGATTAAGGGGCTCTGGAAGAAATTCACCAATGTGATGCAATACTGCATATTTGAGAAGAATGTTCAGAAATGATAGTTTGCTGGAAGGCTTCTCACCGTGGCCATTATCCACATGCCGGGTTCACGAGACGCAGCTTTTGTCCCTCCTATGCAGTGCCAATCCTTCAGAAGGTTTTTGTTCAGCTAAAAACCAGTGGTGAGCTCTTAAGGCCATATCATTTCGTTGTGGGCCTTCATCGGAATAGAAAGGGCCACTTACGAGTATCTCTCTAATCCGTGAGCATGTGAGATGGGTGCTCTGTTCACTCCGCAGATTGAATGATTCTACCACCAAGGATAAACGTTGGCATTTACTGAAGCCGATATGTACCACGAGAATCACGAGGAACGACCGAAGAGTTTGATCCAGCACTACTGGGTACAGCATCAGTCTGAAAAACATTTCTAAATGGAATTAAAAAACAATGAAAATGGTCCAAAAAAATGACGACAGAAAATTTGAGTTCCAAGCCGCCTGAAAGCAATAGTACAATACTGGCTACCCCTCCAGCTTGAGCTTACAAGCGGGTAACCTTCGTCGGGTAGAATTGAACCACTAAGAGGCAATTAGTTGGCTGAGCGAGGACATCAACTATCAGCAATGAATTCGTTAACGCCATGCAACCAACAAGCACGGATTCGCTGTATTTACAATAGATCGGGCGCAGTAGAAAATAAACTTTAAGAAAATGAAGCAGACAGACAGTGACTGGTAATCGATAATCTATCAATAAAGCCTACTATGGCAACAATTTACAATGATGTTTGGTGAAGAAATGTTCAAACAGCATAGTTTGTATCATTTATTCGTCAAAGAACAAAAGCAACGAAATAGTTGCTTAGATTCGCACATCACTGATAATCTATTGAGCTACGCCTACCATAGTAACTATTTACAATATTGTGTAGTGAAGAAATATTCAAAAAGCTCATCAACCACCCGCCGCTCACATTTTTGGCTATACAAGTTGACAGCAATTCTAAGGAGCTGTTGAAATACCGAAAAAGCCGTTGGTTTTTCTGCAGCACCCCCGAGCCAGCTAATTCCTTCATAATTAGATCAAAGAGAATAAGTTCGATAACGTATTCACAGCCGCCTCTGTATGTTTGCGCCCTTGTACTGGGGTGGTCATCGAGACGCTGGCGGTGGTTTACTTTGACTGATTGCTGTGTTGCTGTTCTCCGAGATTTACTCATACTCCAAATATCCACAAACCCCGACGAGAGATTCTCCTTAATCCACTTACGACAGCGCTCGTTTTGGATCTTTTCGCCGCGAGCCTTTTCTCGTTCGAAAAATATGACACGGATGCTCGTCAAGTCGTCCCCCGCGGTGTATTTTCTGGAAGCCAGGGTGAGAGACAACAAAACGAGCGTAACATGTTACGTAAAGAAAAGAACAGCGGAATGAAGCCGACGGCATGCTCTGCTGGTCTACTTTTTCTCACCGAGGAAATAGTTTCCTCAGCATCGATACAAATGTAGGACATCGCTGAATAGAAAACTGTAGGGAGGGTGAAGGAGTAGTAAAATGATAAGTTTTTCGGGCATTAGTTAATCCTCTCTGAGGGATGCGCCCCTACCGACTTCCTCCATATTGTAGAGGTCCATTGGATGCATGCATATGTGGCCTGTACAGTGCAGACCGATGTACACTCAGTGCTTTTTATTCTTCCAAATGAGTGTGGTACCAGTCAAACGATTGCGGAGGAAGGCTGGAAGGCTTGGTTGGCCTCGACGGATATCGATACGCATCACGATTGCGCATATGGTCATGGGGCTTTAGCTCATAACTATACGTGCGTGATAGTGCACCACTGGCCTACCTCCACGTGGATGGAGGAGCAAAATTTCTCCGAATTGTTTTACCCTGTTCACTCACTTACGAGTTCTCCTACTGTTTCGTTTTCTTTTCTGAACTAGGAGCCGAAGTTCGATTTTAACACGAAGTTTTACAATATTCAGGAAACTTTGCTAAAATGAAGCATATTCGCCTGTCCGATAGACCACATTGTTTACAAATGCCATAATGTTTTGTCCATATGATAAACATGACAACTTGGAAAAATTCGCGTACCCGCGAAGAAAAAATGGTGGCACAAGGTTGATGCACATGCGCGTCAACATCTCCCATGCGGTCTACAGGGCTTGCGCATGCGCGTCGAGTTCTCGCCAGTGAGTTAAGATAGAACGATACCGTTCGATTGAGTTGAAGTGCCAGTTACTTTCAGGACGCGTACGATGTACAGAAGGGTTCAACATGGCAGCAAACTTGAGTACTCGTCATCAGGTAAACGTATATGCACGTTATGCATTCTTCTCTTACAAATTCGTGATTTCTTGCTCAGTGCAATACTAATTCTCTCTTTCACAATGGAGTCTCTTTCGTCTCAACTGCCAGAAGTCCATTAACCCTCACAGCAGCTACGATGCAACTACTCATCCAACACCATCAAGCAAAAAAAACTGCCGAGCTATCGTGTAATAATTTCATCATATTGTCATGTATACATGATACCCTTTTGAGTCTTCGTGAACTGTAACCTCCGTTGTATAGCATCCATCATCTATCCCTGATCAGGCGCAATCAAAATACAATGTCTTATGCGGTCTCAAAAAGGCTAAGAATTTCTTAGGGCGATATGAAATCACCAGAACGAAGATCGAACAAAATGAAGTATGAATCATTGATTTGCGTTGGCTCATTGAAGAAATATTTGTCTTATAAGGCTCAAAAATCCCAAATACTTTTAGAGCGAATCCATAGATGCAGTGGCCACCGAAGGGATCCGTGCTGGGCAGAAAAAGCAGCAAAGCTGTCCAAAAAGTTCATGACAGCCACCAGTACCGGTGGCCAATTTGGCATGGAAGCAGTCTCCAAAATCGACAATATTTTCCAAAAGTTTCCGCGATTTTTGAACTTATTGAGCTTTGCTTTCTTTTTGAAGTAGAGCGCTCGCACTCGAAGGAAGTGTAGCAGGTGTGATGTGATGAAGCTAGCTGTTGTGCTATAGGTTGAGATACCAACCAGTCCACCCTGAAAACATCAGCTCGCTGCGTAAATTTCCATTAAATCACTTGGGCGTCCTGCTATAAAGGTAAAAGACGAATGAGGGCGATTGATACTAATCTAGCAGATAAACATCTTTTTGCTGCATTCTACCCTTTAGCTCTAAGCATTGGAATCGATCGGAATCATATGAATGCCGGTATATGCGTTGTTAAATAGCTCTTTATTTGCAAGCGACAGGACATACGCAGCTGTGCTCTCTTTGAAAATTATTGTTCAATTCTCATGAAATCATAGAAATCCTATTGAAATCACGCTGTGCTGCATATGTTAGCACTGATCAACCGAGTCCAATAAATAGCGATTCGTTGTGTAATCGACCGGATGCGCGCAGCTCAATGCATTATTCAGATGTAGAGCGTTCGTTATCTGAGAGTGTAAGTGGTATGATAAAAATCATGCTACAGTAATGTAGATCGAAATCGATCAACCAGCACCGATAAACATCGATTTGTTACAAAATAGACCAAGTATTCACAATTGAGCTTCTCAAGAGGAGAAGTTTCAGATATGAAAGATGTTGTGCTGTCAGTATATCGGTCAATATCTATCGATCGTCGACGACAATTACCAATTTTTATGATTGACCGGATATTAACAGCATTCACTTTACATTCTGGGTGATGTATTCGGACTCCAAAAGAGTTGAGAAGGTTAATGAAAAAATGGGTGAAAGGGTGATCGATATCGAACAACCTAACGGAAGCTAACTGTTCTGGAATATTCCGGCTTTCCCTGTTTTCATCAAGAGAGATCCAGGAAAGAGGTAACAGAAGTGCGTCTGAGTTTGGCACAATAAGGAGTAATCGGGCGTTTCGACCGGTAAGGACGAATGAGAAGGGAAACGAACGTTGAGGATAAGAAATCAAAGCATCATGAATATAAGGTTAATTATGTCATGGCCATTTGGAGTGTTATTTTTGAGAAGGATCGTGCCATGAGTGCAGGTGGCCTGCTGAGTCATCAACATTACAAATCGGAGAACCATATGCGTGCAATCGATTTGTTCAGCAAGGAAAAAAACATGTTTGCTCGCCGCAAGCAAAAAATCTAATCCATCTTCTATTTATAGTCTTCTCAGCGGAGTTTCAGGAAAAAAACTGGGGCCTTATCTATATAATGTGTAAACATCAGAAAACCTGCTGAAATCTTGTGAAATATGATTAGCCCACATGCCATATCAGACGTATACATCACTTCTAAAATACACTGGTGCAAAACCTACAATGCTTGCCGAAGAACTCGAAAATTCGCGCGGACTCGCGTCTTTTTCGTCTTTTCTCAATGAATCGGTTCTGAGTGGAGTAATCGAGCAGCTAAAGACACCGTTAAACTCACCTTGTCAAGCTCTATAACCTGATATCTTGAAGTGTCGAAAATACTTCGTTTTGGATTGCGCCATACACCTAAGTTCCATCCGAAAAGTAATTGCATGTGCATGGGGTGCATGTGGTGGGATGTCGGGGGCATTCGAATGGTATTTACTTGAATGGAGGATTAGTTCCGAAGGTGGCGGATCACTGGGGGGGGGGGGGAAGTGAGACAGCTTGAATAGCAGTTTTGAGGCTGTCTGAAGAGGCGGTGGTGAGGAAGTGGGCGAGTTTGAATGAGATTATTCGAATAGGGGGATAAGATCTGCAGGGGGCGGGTATTTGAAATGGGAAGCAAGTGGGGTCGTAGGAACAAATTCAAATGACCCCACTCTCCCGCGCCCGGGCCTTCAGGCAGCACTCGAACCCAAATAGCTAAAGTGTGCACCCCATGTACATGCAATTACTTTTCGGATGGAACTCAAAAGCATGGCGGAATCCAAAGTGAAGAATTTGTGTCACTTCAGAGTATCAGGTTATAGAGCTCGACAAACTGAGTTTAACGGTGTATTTTGCTCTTCGATTACTCCACTCTGAACCGATTTATTAAGAAAAGACGAAAAAGTCGCGAGTTCGCGGTATTCGCGTGAATTTTCGAGTCCTTACGGCGACTACCGTAAACAGAAGCAACTTTCGATTAATGCACCTCTGCCAGATAGCAGAGCTTGATGTAATTTATACCATGCCAGAAGAGACCATTACGATATTGCACAAAAACCAGCTGGTCGAAAATGGAAATAAGACGAGCAGATAAGACATTTTTATTCAAAGGTACATTACACATAATTCTTCACCATTATCCTGGCACTCCAAAAAGAACGACGTGCTTTCAATAGGGTGCGTGGTGACCGCGAGCAGCAGTACATGCTCTGCAACGTGATCCCACCCTTCCACGAGGTTGATAAAGAGGTTCTGCGGTAGGGCATTCCACTTCTCTATCGACGCAATGGGGGAATGAGCAGG